AAAGCGTCCTGAGAACTTCCTGGGGAAGGATTGCAGGAGGTGGCAGAGAATGAAGGGGTAACCTGGCTATGTCTGGCTTGTTTGGTTTTTGGTTGTTTTTTCTTACAGTGAGGGCAAAGTGCATTTCTTTTGAGGAGGATAGGTTCAAAAATGTTAAAAATCCAGATGTTAAAAATTCAAATCTTAAGCTGCTCTGGTGGACGTAGAGCTGATAAAATGGCGGCACCGCAGGAGCTGAGGCTGTGCCAATGCCCAACCCTTGGGCCTCTGCTTTTCACAGTGCTGATTTTGAGCAATTTTGAGGTGTCCTTTGTGGTTGGGTGTTCACACTCCAGGTTAAGAAGGCCATTTGTACATTTATCCCAGAAAAACAATGTCTGTGCACCTGATCTCATGGGGAAGAAGAGAGGCACCCAAAGCTTTCACTGAGGCCTTTTAAGTGGCCTGCAAATATTTCACCCTCTTTCCCCTTATCCAAGAGGCACAGTTTGATTTTCCTGAACAAACTAAAATAGCCTTTCATAAAGGAAATCAGGAAATCTCTGTGTCCATACAGAAGGGTGGCAGAGCTTTCAGTCCTGCTGCTCTAAATGCTGCAGGTTTGTGTGCAGACAAGGCCCAGGAGAGTTATGGTGGAGCTATTAGGAGGGGAAGTGATTTTTTCTTAGACTGATTAAAATTCTTTGGGCTTTCTGTTTGTTTGTTTTTAAACACCTATTTAGCTTTTAATTAACATTTAAGAGAAGGGAAGCTGGTTAAATATTCAATACCTCCTCCCTTTCAATTAAGGTAGAACAGTACACAACGCGTGATGAGGCCTCTGGGAAGTATGGAAAAATGGAGAAGAGCAGGCTCCTGATTATCATTTTCAGGGGGACAGGAAAGGTGAAACCCATCTGATTATTACTGCTGTTAACAATAATAACGTTGAGATTTATTTTTTTTTTAACATCAGAAAGCAGTTTAGAAATGCAATTATTCTTTAAAACTGCGTGTCCTGTCTTTGGCCTTTAAATACCCCAATTTTTTGCACTCCCATTCTTTACTTATTTCAGGTGCAAGCATGGAGGATTTTCTAATACGCCTTTTCCAGTAGCTTAGTAGGGAGGCTGCAGACGCTGGGGAAGTTATTCTTCATGCTACATGCCCTTATCTTCATTTTGATGCAGTTCTTTCTGTCCCAGCGAGTCAGCAGCTTCAAACCCTGCAGCCCTGGGAGCTCAACCAAGCAAGGGATTACTGTCACCATACTCCAGTCTCTTCCCCTTTCCCTTCCTTCTCCTTGAAAAATCCAGTTATGTTCTGTCTGTGAGCTGGTTATCCCTCAAAATTGCACATAAAGCACACAGAAAAGGGTGCCTCAATGGAAAAAATGGGTTGGGAATATGCTATTATTTGTAATTCAGCAAATTCAGCCTTCCTAAACTTAAATCCTGCCCCCTCTTTTGATTTAGTGTACCCTAATTTTCTGACAAAATATTTTGTTTTGATGGCCATCCAGTTTAAAAAAGGATCATGCTGGCTAAAAAAATCCCCCAACAAACCCATTTAACATAGTGGAAACCCCTGAAACCACTGCCCAAAAGGTGATGTATTTTTAAGCCTGCTATTTCTTCTACTGTGGTGAGACAACTTACCTGTGGAAAATACTTTGCTTTTTTACCAAATATCCCACAAAAATGATTTTTTTTTGTTTAAATCACCATGTTACATAAATGAGTTTTTAAAATGGAATTGCTGGCACCAGATACCAGTTGTGTAAATGTATATTCCTGAATGAGTGGTTGCTTTTTGGCGCTTTTTTTTAAGGATTGAAGAGAGTGGAGATGCTAAAATGCAGAGCTATTGGATAGGTTTCATATGCTATAACTTCAAGGTTTACTGGATATAGGATTGTATCGATTTTTAAAAACAGAAAAAAATGTTTTGCAAAAAGATTTCTGACTGCATCTATTGCAAGACATTCCAATTCAACTTTAAAATTAGCCTATTGTGATGACACAATAATTTTTAAATTAACTGCTGTATGTTGTACGATGACCTATTCAGTGCTCTGGATTTTTATTTAAAAAAAAGCAAAACCAAACAAAACATCAAAACCCATGGTATTTTCTCCATGAACCTCTCTTCTAACTACATAAGCATATGAATATATTTATATATATGTCTCTTGTGGTTACTTATCAGTCGAGTTAATGATGTGTATTTACTGGCTGGACAAAAACAAGAATTAATCCAATTAGTTCAATAATTGGTTATTTACCAAATATTTTCTTAATTATTGAGAGTCCATTTCTACTTCAGCTGTAAATAATAGAAGTTCTCCCATCAATTTCAGCTTAAGTAGTATTTTATTATTTTTAGAAAAGTTTTTCATAGCTTTTATAGAAGCTATTCATAGAAATCACAGGAAAAAATTTGCAGTTGCAGAGGATAGTGAAAGTAATACCTTTTGTCAGAAGGTTCAGCTTTCAAGTCAAACTGTCATTCAGGTGAACTTCACAACTTGTGACTTTTTAATTTTTTAAAAATTTAATTCAATTTGTAGACAAAAAAAAAAGGATGAAGGAAGTAGCATGCATGTGTCTGGAAACAGCCAAATTCTGTTACATGGAAAATTCTGTGCTATAATATGATTAAAAGTTGATGTGAGCAACCTAAGACAATTGAGTCCCTCAATTGGCTGACCCGGGAGCTGTATCCTTTTTATGCAAATACCACTAATGTCAATTTTATCTCAGCTGGATATAAATTATATCCAGTTGCAACACACCCATGCCATGGATCCCTGGAAGATGATAAAGCTAGAGAGCTGATGAAGGCAAAAAGGCATTTTTCCTGTGGATTCTGGAACAGGGTCCTACCCAGATGGAGAGTACGGGCTTCCCGTTGAGAGGAGAAGAGATGAGACCGTAGAGAAAGATCTTCCCTTTCTTTGCCTGCTCATAGTTGTTCTCTGATAAGAGTATCTTCAAGAGAGGGATTAGAGGGAAAGGAGGAATCAGCTCAGCAAGAGAAATAACAAGGAGACATCAGCTATTGCCTGCAAGAGGCCATGCTGTAGGCAGATACTTCACTGAACTAGGGAAAATAGGAATTCACAAATATTTGTGAATTTGTGCTATGCACCCAGAAATTTGTAGATAAACCTCGATCTTACTCTTTCTTTATATTTTTGCCCCTTTTTTTGCTCTCCAGATTCTCTGAAGCAGATGTGTAGTAAGGACAGCACTGACAAAAAGCACCATCAGTAAATCAATAACTTTTCTTCTTTCTCTTTTTTAAGGAGAACACACACAAGAAACCAATTCACCTCATTCTCTGAAGAAGGATGTGGAAAATATGGGGAAAGGTAAAATAAATAAGGGCCTCTTACATTATAAAACTGCTCTTTGTTTTAATAGAATATGAGGATAATAGGGGGCACTTTTGTTCTGCGCCATATTTTAAGCTTGTCAAGTAACATATGAATAATATATGGACCTTTGGGTGGATATAATTGAGATTAATGCATATATATCAATCAATACATGACACTGTAATATAATACTTTAAAATAATATATTACATTGATTTATATTCATGGCTTTCTGCACAAAATCTATGGTAGGTCTATGCAACACTTTTTTTTCTTTTTTTTTAATAAGCGCTAAAATATTTTGTCTTGGAGTAATGAATTGCTCTGCAACTGTTCTTTCAAGAATTATTTATACAGATTATCAAAACCACTTTTTCTCTTTGTTAGAGGAACTCCAGAAGGTTCTGTTTGAGCAGATCGACCTACGGAGGAGGCTGGAACAGGAATTCCAGGTGTTGAAAGGAAACGCGTCTTTCCCAGTCTTCAGTAAGACACAAAATCTGTGGTTTTGGTGTTGTGCGTGTTTGTGGTTGGTTGCTGCCAGGCTGATAAAATGAGACAGGCTCTCAGTTGTGCTGCCATGATCTTGGGCTTAGTTCTGCTGAGTCCAGGTTGGGCAGGGCTTGGAGCAAGCTGGGATGGTGGGAGGTGTCCCCAGGGTTGGAATGAGGTGATTTTTAGGGTCCCTTTCAACCCCTGCTGTGGCTTTGCAGCTGCCCAAGCAGGTCTTTTATAGGGAAAACACAAAGCTGGATGTCTGTTTTGGTGTGCATCCTACTAGTTTTGGTAGCATTGATTACAGTGAGTAGGCAGAAACACATCTGGGTCCTTATGGGGTACCGTGAAGTTGGTGTCTCAGCCAACACCCCTCAGGGGCTTCTGAAGACAAGACACCTAATCCTTGTTTTCAGGAGGTTCCTAATACTCATTTTCAGGAGGTTCCAGCAGATGCTGGAGAATTGATCTGTCCTTTTTAAAGAGTAGAAATTCCTGCTTGGATTTTTTCCCGTTGGGAGAGGCCGTTTGAGATGGCCCTTCCATCACGGCTGCTGAGCAGGGTGCTGCTGCCCAGGGTGATGGAGCACGCGGGGCATGGCTCAAATAAAACAAAATGGGCAACAAGCAGGGTTTTTGTGAAGGGCTGATTTTACAGGGACGTGGAAAAAGACACCTTGGCTGGGATCTCTCAAACGACACTGGAGCAATGGCAGAAAGATTCTTCCAGGAGAAATCCCACCTAGATCAGGATGATCCTACTGGAAAAGGAGGGAGCAGAGACAGCATTTTCTTATTGTTCAAAGAAAATATGCTTGTCCCCTTTCTGTAGCATCAGATAGGTATGCTTAGGGAAGCAAGGAAGTGTTAGGAATCTGGGAATGACCCCATCTTTAGCCCGAATATTGAAATATGTAGACAGCTCCATAAATAAAGAAGAGTCACTTGACATGATACAGATATTAATGAAAGGAGCATAACCTCATCCTTCAGAATAAATCCAGTCATTACTTGGGTTTGGGAGTGAGGTAATTTTCAAATAATTCGTGGGGATCAAAATGCTGCTCTGTGGTATTGGTGAAATGGCATCTTGGACTTTTGCCATTCAAGTCTCTTATTTATCCTTTTGTTCTTCTACAGCAAAATTAATGCTCTGTCTTTGCCATGTAAATAAACACTGCAATTAAACCACATGAAATACAATTCAAATAAAAGAAAAGAACAAGTACGGCCGACCAAGGAAGTGGTGACTGCTGTATGGTGGCTTGAAAAATATGTGGTTTCAATGTACCACAAAGTAGTGGTCAATTTTCTTCAGGATTAAAATAGAAAACAGATAATGTGCTATAAAACATACCTACAAGTGACCGTAAAGCCTATTTACAGATTTAGATTTACCAAAAAAACCCACCCCTCCTCCGCGTGTAATAAAACAAGAAAAAAAGAAAAAAATTACTTTTGTAAAGTAAATCAGTGTAAATCCATGTTGAGGGTGTTTTGTCCTCTATTGCATTGTGTCCTCCAGCACAGGAGAGTGTGGCTGTTCCAGGCTCTTGCTGTTGGGCTGTTGCTTTAGGCTGGGTATTAGAATGGTGTTGGTGTCTTGGGCAGAGAAGAGCCAGGCAGAGGAGTTTTTGGAGACCCAACTAAAGGAAAGTTGAGGTAAAATTTAAATTGTATTGAAAACTCATCCCTGTTTCAGCTGGGAGACAACATGAGAGATGTGGAAGGCAGTACTATTGTCTCTGGAAAATGTCAGGTTACCTGCAGTGAGCTCCAGAGTCACCTCCTTTGGGTCTTCCACCTGGAACTGAGCACATTTGGGGTGCTCTGCCTTCACAGCATCGAGGCACTGCTCACAACAGGACTATGCAGTAAATGGTGTTTGGTTTCAGAGTTCTCCTCTCGTTTAAATCACTGTCAAATGAGAACTGAGCTTATTTGCAAGCTCCCTAAGCAGTGCTATGGTGCAGTCTTCTCTGTGGCCTCTTGAACCTGCTTGAAACACGGACTGTGATAATTTATAAAACAGCAAGACCTTGTATTTTTCACATTGCTGTTGGGCTTGAAAGCTGCAGGTGAAATTTTCTTTTCCCTTTAAGGTCTCTCAATGCAGAGATCACTCAAATTAAAAAAAAAAAAAATTAAAAAATCAGATCACATGTAGAAAGTCAAAGTATTTGCTGTCCTGATAAAAATGCAAGTATCTCTGCATGGTGACAGTGTGTTCTCCTGGAGCCCTGCTCTGGTTTGTGCCCTCCGTGTCGGCTGCTCCGCGTTCTGTCCGTCTGCATTTTAAACAATGTGGCAATAAAACGGTGGAGACGCAGTCTGGGTACTTAAAGTATTTAATTTTGTGTTAAGAAAGCTATTTAAATATTCATATCTTTTCTCCTGGGTACTGCTTATGGCTTTGTCTGTGAGCGTTTGGACTCGGATAAATGCCGCCGGAAAAAAACGCTGTCCCTACCATTAACACCCCATTTCCACTGTGAGCTTGGGCATTTGCTGTACAGGGCTGAGCAAGATCCCTGAGCTGTTTGTTTGGAGAGGTGATGAGCCCATGAAGAGGCAGCTGGGAGGAAAGCATTGAGGGGAAAAAGCAAAATTTCTCCTTAAAGCCTACTCAGAGTGGAGCTGGAGGACCTCAGTTGCAATTATCAGCCTTTAGCAACCAGGACAGGAGGCAGTTACCTTTTTATACTTTTGCGGGGGGGGGGGGGGGCTAGGGAAAGAGGAATTTATTTTTGTTGGCTTATTTTTCTGATCAAGTCGGAGTAGAGGGAATAGGTTTAACAGTTCTGTGGGAATATACTGGAAATCTGAAGAATGTCATTGAGATAATGCCACCATGTCCTTTTCAGCGTGGTTGTGCTGGACTCCTGAGAGCTTCAGCTTGCCAGAATTTCTCACTCTTTCCCTGTTTCATTGCTTTTCCCCTGCCTCCTTTTCTTTTAACAACAACTTCAGTTCATTATTTAGAGGAGACAAAGTTCTTTTTTGAGAGGGGGACAGAGCTCTGCCCCCTTGTTATTTCTTCCAGGACAGGCTCCTTAGTTGAATCAAAATGATAGTGGCTGGGATGGGTTTTCTTTCCTCTTCCATTTAACAGCCCATCCTTGCACCCTGACCTCCATCAGGCAGCTCTTGGAGTTCTCTGTTTCTTGTTTATATTCCTCTTTTTCCCACCCACCAACAGAAGTGTTAGGGAGCACAGAGCATCAGTTAGTCTTCTAACAAATGAAGTTTTGTCCGAAATGGCTGTTTAGGAGGAAAATCAGGGAAGGAGGATCTACTGGAGCAGGAAGGCTGGCCTGTGCTGTAACCCAGCTGCCCAGGATCTCTCTTTCAAAGACTTTCTCCCTTCCAAATTCCACGTCACTCTTTATGGAGCTTCAGTTTTTTGTTCAAAGCCATCAGTGCGATGCTACAAACCACAAATCAAACCCTGCATCCTTGAACGCTTTCTCCTCTCACACGCTGGACATCGCTGCTGGTGTCGACAGATTTATGCCAAAGCAAAGAAGAGCAGCTTCTGCTCTTCTCTTCAGGGCCTGAAGAAGTTTGACTAATGACTGCAGAGCCTTGCCCGTGCAGGAAAATAGCTGGGAATAAATGCTAGCAAACACAAAGTTAGCATCCTACATTTTCTGCTGGGGGAAGTAGTGAAATCTAGCTTTTCCACATTTTTTCTGGTGTCAGTGGTGTCTCCTATTAGATACATATTTGTTAGGCGTGTGTTTTAATTGAGTGAAGGACTTTTGTAATGCTTTGTGCTTCCTCAGTAGTGACTGGGCTTGATTTAGCTTGGTTGGTGTCAATACTGCCGTGCGGTCTCTGTTTCAATTATTGCACCTACACTTTTTTCCCTCTCATACAGACAATTTTCAAGATCAGATGAAGCGGGAGCTGGCGTACAGAGAAGAAATGGTGCAGCAGCTACAAATCGTAAGTTTACTTTCTGTGATAAAAATGTCTTCAGCTTCTGCTTTGTGTTTTTTAAACCCACACCTCAAATTTTTCCTTTTTGGGCCATGCAGATGCACCATTACCAAGCTTCTACTGCCTTACATTTAGCAAGAGGTAAACACGCAGTTCTCAGCTGGTTTGGAGCCTAATTACCTGGAGATTTACTTTCATACAGTAACCAGATGTGTCTTCATGTTTCAACTAAACAAAATGTGTTGACACGGAGAGGTACTTCTGCAGAGAGGAGGAGTGAATCAGTAAACTTTGAGCAGTTAAACGTTTCTGCCTAGGGAATCTGCTCAATCCCTGCTTCCCACCAGAAAATAAACCTTAGGATGTGTCTTTTTCTCATTTCAGACACTAGAAGAAGTGCTTAACTCAGCAGTAAAGGATCAAGTTGCCAAAACACAGTTCAGTGCAGGCACACGTTACTGTTGGGTCTCTTGCTTGTTATTTTAAAACCAAGAGGGATTTTGCCTGTGTGCAAGTGCAGCTCTGGATCATCACATCCAGCTGTGTTGTTTTGAAAAGTTGACGTTTTTAATCCAGTGCAAGCAAAGGGGCTGGAGCACGGGAAGCTGTTCCACACTCAAATAAATGAATGCCTAGTGTGGTTTCAAGAGCAGTGCATGGTGAGGCTGTCAGCTAATGCTTGCTTTGCTGGTGCTTTCTCTGTGATCCATCTGACATTGCTCAACAGGGTTTTGTTTTTGAGGCAAGGCTGGCAAATATCCCCATTTCTCTGAATCAGCCCTGTGCTGCCCCATTGAAATTTTCCTCCTGCTTGTCAGGGGGCAGAGATGGCATTGCCCAGCCTCCTGGTACTGTCATTTTCTAATTGATGGGTTAGGACATAAAAGTAAATTTGAAGGCCAGGATTGTCAGACTTGTGCTCCGATGCTTAGAGGCATTTAGGGCTGGCCTTATTTTTAGAGCTGCCGAGCATCCATGCACCCCATTCCTGCTGACTGCAGAGATTTCAATGAGACATGGAGGGTGTTTGAAAGAGGCTGTTTGTGGAGGAAACTCAGGCCCAGAGAATCTCTGGGTGTTTTTTGCAGCTGGTCTGCACTCTTTTCCTTTAGTGTGCCCATTTGTTACTGTGTCCCCCTTTGTGTCCCGATGGCAGGCAGGAAGTTTTACTTGACCCATGAATTTTGTTGTCACAGAAAATTCCAGTTAGGATGCCATCCTGAAAAGCACTTCCTCTGCTGCTTTGGACTTGAGGCAGGTGACCAGCTGAATTTCCTGATGCAAAGAACTTCTAAGCACAAAGTTTATGGGCTCACCCAGGTCCTTATCTCTTGTGTCAGCTGAACTTGGAGCTGGCTAACTCTGCCTCCCAGGGAGAGAATGGATCACCTCTGCCATTCACCTCTTGGCCCTGTGGTGAAGTTGTTTCTGGAACTGGATATCCCAGACCTCCAGCAAGCTGGCTGCGGTGGTTTTCCTGATTTTCTTGGTCAGGAAAATAAATATGATCAAGTAATTCACATCCTTTTCACTTACTGACTTGTTCCATGGACAGACTAAGGGGCATTTAATAATTTAACAGAGCTGAATGTACTTACAGAGAATATTTTCAACATTTAATGTGCTGCACCAACAACTCAGGACCTCTTCCCTCACTAGAGATGCCTTAATTTAATTATTACTAATGGAAATGTTGTTGAATCACCAGTAAGTCTTCATGCTCATGTTTGTGGGTCAGGTTGTGATCAGTGAGACTGATAAAAAGATGTTTGTATGAAAAACTGAGTCACTCCTGCAAATAATGAGTGTGTTTGCCAAAATGAGGGCAGAAATCTTCAGAGTTGTCTTGGCTGATAACTGAAATGGAGTCAGCACTTTCGAGATGATAATCCCAGCAGTGGCTTTAATTCATTTGTGGGAATATATCTTGTATGTTTATATCTAGAATTAAGATTAATGAACTGAATGTGGTAATGATAGAACTACTTTGGCCTTCCAGGGTTATTGCATGGATGAATTGGTGCAGAATACACAAAAAAACATGTCTGCTTTTGATTTTTTGTTTAATTGCTGTTATTGTTTTGTTTTTAACTGGCACTTTTTAGGTGCTTTTTTTTGTACCTGAGATGCTGCACTACTACTTTGACAGGGCTTTAACCTAATTTTCTTATAGAAAATAGAAGTACAAAGAGGAAAGCAGAAGCGTTTCATACATACTGAAATCATAGTTTTACTTAGACTTTAATAGGTGTATGCTTTTGTAGTACTAAGCTCAAAATTTATTGATGTAACTAGCCACAGAACTGGACTTAATTGCTTTTAAAAATTATTTTACAAAAAATACAGATGCCTAGAGTCAAGGGGTTTTTTGGCTCTTCTCACTGCTGAAGATATACAACTCAAATTAGTCCTTCCTGAATACCCCTGGAAAGGTTTAACAGCCGTGTGGATGTGGCACTTGGGGACACGGATTGGTGTGGGCTGGGCAGTGCAGGGGAAATGGTTGGATTTGAATATCTTGGAGGGCTTTTCCAACCTAAATGATTCTGTCATCCCCTGATCCCCTGAAACTGTGGGTACCAGAGAGAGGTTTTTCCAGAACGATTATTTCACTCACCCTGAACTGAGTAATCAGACTCTAAAATTAATTAACCCAGCATGTTCGTTGTTTTGGAAATATCTGTAATACAAGCTGACCGCGATCACGAAAAGAAAATCAACCAATCCTGATTGCATTTGAAAACTCCCCGGCGCCAACACCCGCTGCAGACTGCCGTGAAGCTCGTGCCCTGCGCTGGCCGTGGCACTTTTTGTCCCGTTTTTTTGGGGAGATTCTTCCCCGTTTTGGGAGCGGTCCGTGGCAGCGCGGCCCGCGGGTGCCCTCTGCCGCCCGCCGGCCGCCACTGCAGCGGCCGCGGCGCGCTAAATCCGCGCTCAAATCGAGCCGGGCTTAAATCAAAGCAGGGCAGGATCGGCGGCCCCCCGCTGCCCCGGCTGCTCTGCCCGAGCCGCAATTGAAAAATAATAATATTCCATGGCTTCCTGAAAGCCAGGAGTAAGGCTCGGGTCGCTGGGAAAACGGGATGGGCCCCACTCTCTTACATCTTCACTGGTGGGCGTTGGGTCCTTTGCAGGCAGCCTGGCTCAGAGGGCTGCTGGAGCAGCAGGTTGGTGTGTGGCCATGAGTTTTGACGGGAACCGCAGCATGAGTAAGGCTGCAAGTGGCCACTGGAGGTCCCCGAGTACAAGCTCCCTGCTAGAGAGGAGTCCTGCGGAGCACACTGCTCAGAACAGATCTCCAGGCAGGTTTTGAGCACCTCCAGGGAGGAAGGCTCCACAGCCTCTCCACGCAGACTGTTCCAGTAAGGAATTTCTTCCTGATGTCCAGGTGGAATTTCCTGTGTTTCAGCTTTCAGGGTTTTCCAAGTGTCTGAAGCAGCTACCGGGAAGTTTTGCAACCTGTTTGTGCCAGGATCTTGGCCAAATGCTAGGAAACAGCCTATCATCATATTTAACGAGAAAATGGATCTTAGACTCCCTGAAAGCATTTTTCTCTTCCTCCGCTGGCAAAGTGCTGCCTCCCAAATTGGCTGAGTACAGGGTGTGTACGAGGGGATCATGTATAAAATGTGGGTTTTGCATGTGGATCCTGTTGTGCCAGGGAAGGTTTAAACCAGATATTAGGAAAAAATTCTTCACTGTCAAGCACTGAGGTCAGCTGTTCAGGGCAGAGGTGGTGTCCCCATCCTTGGAGGGGTTTAAAGGCTGTGTGGATGCAGCACTTGGGGACATGGGTTAGTGGTGAGCTGGGCGTTGGTGGCATGGTTGGACTCAATTATCTTAGAGATCTTTTTGAACCTAGAAGATTCTGAGATTCTGAGGATCATCTGGCTTTTGTTAATGAGTTGTACAGAAAGGGCCAGAGAGGAGGAACTGCTGCCCAGAAGGATGGGGGAAATTCAGACATCACACACATGGTACAGCCTTAGAAGAGCTCACCTGCTTTTAGAGTTTTTAGTTTCTGTCCAGTGAGACCAGAACTCATCTGCTGGGACAGCCCAGCACCATAACCAAGTGCCAAGCCACGTCCTGCCCGAGACTCTGCATCTGTCTGATATTGTCTTCTGAGCAGCTGTGTTAGTGGAACAGACTTTAAAGCCATGAACTTTCTCCCTAGCTGCCTGGTGAGAGAAAAAGATCAGAAGCAGCATTTCCAGCATTATGATTTTAATGTTTTTCCTTTAAAGTTTTCATTAACCTCTCTCAAACATGGCCACAGGAAAGTAGAATGCCAAGCAGGAAGTTTAAGCCTCCTGCAAGCTAAAGAGCTTTTCTCAATTTTCCCTCAGAGGTGCCTTACAAGTAGTTTGTGGGTTCTCAGTGGTGACCTGTCCATCAGGAAAAGCTCAGGTGGTATTCATCACCCCTGGTGGTTTAGATCATTAGCTGATGATCCATGCCACTGATTTTACATTGGGGTAACAGGTGAAGGTTTTTGAGGTGTGTTAGAAATGTGAAACACTCAGGCAGGCCTTTGTCTTTCCAGATTAGGTGAAAAATGATGGTTTGGTTTTGTTTGGGATATTTTAATTAGGTTATGCTCCCATGAACTGACTTCTTCCTGACCAGCCTCACTTTGGGCTGATAAAAATGTTCAGAGCTCAGAACTGGATCCATCTGGAACTGCTCTGTGTTTTATGGCTTTCTGCTCTCAGTGCTCCTTTAAATCAACTCTGTTCTTCAGAGTCAGGCAATAAAATAAATCAGGAACTATCTTTCTGCAAAACTGATTTCCATCTCTGCATCATCTTTCACCCTGATCCTTAGAGATTGACAAGGAATGTTTAAAAGAAGGGGAAGAAATCCACCATGTGCTTAATGTTGGTAAATCTTCAGAGGCACGAGAGCCTGTCCCTCTGGGTTGCACTGTAATTCAGAAGAGCACCAATAGCTCCAAAATTCCTGGTTTACACTGCTTATGGAAAGACAGTGCTTTTGTTCAACTCATGTACTCATCATCCAAACAAGAAGCACCCACATTTGTGTGTGGGGAGATCTGGGCTCTCAAAAACAGGAAATGGGAAATGGCAGCACTTCAGTGCCATTTGCGATTTCTGTGCTTGGCCTGAAGTGGTGCAGCTCAGATGATTGACCTTGGAGAGCATGCAAACAGCTGTTCAGCAGAATGGCTCTCGGATTTCTTGAGTGTCATCTTGTGCTGAAGTGCCTGCTCACAGGCACACAGATAATGACAGGTAAAAGAACATTTCTGGGACACTGTGTCCTGTGTCCTCAAAAGGCTCATCCCTGATTGTGTACAGGAAAGTGAGCTGTTTTCACCAGAATTTTATTTCTTGTTGTCAGTTTTTCAGTTGTTTTTTTGGTTGGTATTTTTTTTTTCAAAGATAGGTGAGAAAAACTTGTATCCAGACATCACATGTGAATATGCCTTGGGTGGATAGGATGGAGCTCTGCCTCTTTCTCCAGTAAATTCAAATGTTGTAGGAAAGGATACCTTGTTGAAATTTAAGCAGAAAGCTTCCTTTCCTTTAGAATCTGCAGAAATTCTGATCAAAAATGGGTGTGGACGTGCAGGCAGCCACAAGCCAGCCTCAGCTACTGCATGACTGCAAAATATTTTTTCTAGGCAACAGAAGGCAGGGTGATGTAAAATCTTGTGCCTCAGCAGAGATGGGATGCAGAGGTGAAGCCTTGAAAGAGGATGGTGTGCTAAAGCTTCTTTGACATCTGAGTGTGTAAACAGAGATCAGAGAGGAACTTCAGAAATGACTCCCCAATCCCATCCATTGCCTGTGCTTTGGTTCGAGTCGTGGGGCAGGCTCCAGGCTTGCTGAGTTGGCTCCTTCCAGGTGGAATAAATGGGAATATGCTCCAGGAATGCACAGAGGACTGTGCTCCAGTCCCTGATGGGTACCAGGACTAGACTGGAGTCAGCCTGTAGGAAAAAGGACTCAGTGTCCATATTGCATTTTTCTTGGAGTTTCTCTTCAGGTCTGCTCTCATTGTGTTTCCTACTAATGTGGATCTGGTCACAAAAACTGGGTTTTTTGCTGCTTAGAACCCAACTAACTGCCTTCACTTTTGTTATTTCTGTACACCCTTTGAAAAGGGCCACCTTTTTGCCAGGAAGAGCCCTAAATCCTCTTCCACCACAGCTTCAGAGTTACTGAATGCTCTGACAACGACAGAAATAGAAGATGACATTGTAGGTGATTTAACTCATGGAGAAAGCAGTCATTTCCCTGTTGAACAGCCACCTCTCCCACTGCCATCAATTGCCAGGAGATCAGGTAAAACAACACACGTTAGAAAGATGCCAAATATAGCGGAGAAGTGGATTGAGAACAGTTAATTTCTGACAGAATGTACCCCGCTGTATTATCTAGGTCAGTACAGCTTGGGAGATGTCCTACATAATTTGTGTCCATGCAAACCCAAGTTGGCCTTCGTGAGTGGGAGAGAGGCAGGAATCAGCTGGCGAGGCACCACAGGTCCCAGCTGGAGCGTGCTTGATTCTTTTTGTGCAGTTTGTTTGTGGCTCCCTTTTGCATCCAAACCACGGCCAAAGGTGATCAGGGAAGCAGCTTCTCTGCACCCCCCTCTCTGCTGCAGCTTGGGAAGGAGTTTTGCAGCCTTTGCAAGCTCCGTATCCTGAAGGCAGCTGTGCCTGGGGACATGGTGGAGGGGACAGCTCTGTTTTTTAGGGGGGGGGATCTGGCCACGAGCTTCCTGATTCCTATTGTCTTCTGTCAGGGTAAGGGATTATAAGAGTAGTCAGCCAAAACACCTGGAATCTTGGTCTTTTCTGGTTTGTGCACACACATTTCCCCTTTCCCAGGGCTGTGCAGGGGGGAAGCACCGTGCACCTGTGGAAGGCTTCTGCTTTCATTCAGCCACAGACACTGCTCCTTCCTGGTGCTGCTGCTTTCAGCCAGATTGATCTCCTTTCCCAGGACATGAAAGGGTTATCTCTTGAGCTTCAAAAGCCCCTCTCTCTCCTCTCATCCTGATCCTTCCCTCCTCTTTTTCCTGATTAAGGTGGGCAGGGATGGATGAGTCTCTCGATGTCTTTGCAGACGCGATGCTTTACCCCAGCCCAGAGGCACAATGGCTGGGCACAATTCACACAAACATCCTCATAATGGATGGGCATAGTGGATTTAAAATAATTATGGGCATAATGTATTTAAAATCAAAACAGGGATGTACAGGAACATGTGGGGTCAGTGGATACGGATGTAAATTCACTGTGTCTAGGTGTGTGGGGCAGGTTGCTTGAACTCTGCATTTGCCCATCTTCTGCTGTTCCTTCTGCTGTTTGTGCAGGTTACGGCCTTGATCCTGACTTCAGGTGACAGAATTGTCAGCTTGCAGTGACATATTTGACATTATTTGTGAGCATATTCTGGAGTGCCTGGCAGCAGAAGCAGGTCAGCTCGGTGTGCAGCAGCACCTAGGAGCACAGGGACACAGGATTTTTTGATCTCCCAGCCTGAATTCCTCCAGCAGTCCCTCCAAAAGTCATCATCAAAGAATTTGTAGCCAGTTGGATTCCCAGCTATGGGGAAATCTCAGAGCAATTTAGTTTTGTTGCATTCTAAAGGCCCAGCACTGAAGAAGAGCAGCCCTGTAATGTATTCCCACTGGCCAATGAGCACATCATCCCACTTTGTTTCTAAATATAACTGTGTTCCCTAATATGCCCATGTTCTCTGTTTTTCTTTAATTATTTGTTCCACTTCAGTGGCTTCCCTTCAGATTGGTGCAAGTTGGAGATAACTATTATGAACTTCCTAATTAGGGGGATATAAATACACGAAGTCTCACGCTCCCAACCTGCTGTATTGTGGCTGTGCAGGGATCAGTGTGCATTGCCTGATCTGCCACAGACAGCTGACTTTTTATGATCTCACAGGTGTCCTTATCCTTTGTCAGCCTCTGATATAAACACAGCATCAGAATGCATCTTTTACACTGAATTTTAAGATTCTATCTGTTCTTTTAATTCTGGCCATTTTTTATTTTATGTCTGCTTCAACTTCCCTGAGGTTTCATAAAGAGTTGAACCTTTGTATTTAAGATGTTGTTTCCTACAATTCCTCCCCATTTTCAGGAAGGAAAACAAAACCTTTCATTTACAGGGATTTCCATCTTGGGTGTTTTGTTAGCCAAACCTTGTCTTGAGCAGTGTCTCTGTTTCTGTGTCATTCCAGATTCCCTATGCAGCAAGCTTGATCAGGAAAGAAAAGCTCGGTGCACACCTCAGCAAAAGCTAAAGGTGAGCTTGTGAGAAAGAGACTTCATTCCACTTGACCTGGCTGCCTGTGTTCCTCTGCAGCCATTGCAGGAATTAAGAGGATCATTCTGTTGTTTGATGTGGCTGGTTCTGGTCCCAAAGCCCTCTCTGTGCAGGTGCTGTGCTACAGTCTAGAGCTGATAAATCACATGTGGCACGAATTACGAGGCTTCACTGGGGTGGGATGTAGTGCTGGGAGCTGACCCATGGGTCCTGCAGTGACAGGACAAAGGCTCCAAACTGGGAGTAGCTTTAAATTAAATATTAAAGTAGCTTTAAATTAAATATTAGGAAGAAATTCTTCCCTGTAAGGGTGGGCAGGCCCTGGCCCAGGGTGCTCAGAGCAGCTGTGGCTGCCCCTGGATCCCTGGCAGTGCCCAAGGCCAGGTTGGGCAGGGCTTGAGCACCCTGAGATGGTGGAAGGTGTCCCTGCCCATGGCAGGAGTAGGATGAGGGGATCTTCAAGGTTCTTTTCAATCCAAACCATTCCATGCCTCTAACTGCCTGAGCTTGTGCTTTTCCTGACACTGAAAAGTGTCATCAAGGTTAATTTACCTTCAGTGGAAGGAGGGGAGCACCTTGGCATTCAGGGCTCAAAAAGAAATGTTCGTGCTCCAGGAAGGGAGGAGTTTTTCTGCCCTTAATGGAACTGCTTTAGGAAAAACAGTGCATCAGCAAATTTTGGGAGTCTCTCAGAACCCCCTGACTGTGGTTCTGAAGTTCAGTGTCCTGCAGAAGGTCATTCTCCTGCTGCTCACGTGCAGGGCCTTCCTAAACCAAACACTACATTTTTCAGGACTGTCTATTAGAAGGGTTCATTTAGTAGAAACACCACCTCCATCATCAGTGGCCTGGGAGATTCTAGTTTTGGGTGCTGAAGTTTTAACATTTAAATGACATTCTCTTGGCTTTTTCCTGGCAAAACAAGAAGATTAGGGATTGGAGACAGATGCCAAAAGCTGGTAGCCCTGCTGCTGTGTTATGTCACGAAATCTGGCTTGCAGATTCACTAAAAAACTCCCCGAGGAGAAGTAGGGGGATTAGAAAAAGAGCAGCTACTCATACACAGAGATCTCAGTAATGCACAAAATAGAGGTATTCAAAAGAGTATCTAAGAAGGGCTTGACTGTAGAGATGATGGAGGTTTGCCTGAGCTGTAGAAGAAGCAGATTCTTAAAAATAAAAGCAGTAGGAGTAAGTACAGAGTAACCAGATCGCCACGATCTGTAGCCCAGAGCTCTGCCCGCTGAGATAAGGAGATTATTCTGAGCACCAAGCTGGTCTCTTTCGGCTTTATGCACACTTCCTTACTGACTGCCAGCGTTTTCCAATTGAGCTTACAGCAATCTGAGCGCTGATTTAAAACAAACTCAGCGGCACTAACACCCCGACTAAAACCAGCAGGTCAGGAGCAGCATGTCCTGCCCCAGTGCCGCATCTGCGGCGCTTGATGACCAATAAAAACCTGCCTGAGGACGGCAGCATCGGAGGAGAGGAGCAGTTTGCTGCCATCACCGGGCTTCCAGCAGCTCCCAGTCCCTGCAGGGCCAGTGCTGGCATCCCGGCAGCGAGCATTCCCTTATTCCCTTTGGCGAATATTCCCGTCCGGGAAGGACGGACGCACTCCTCACGCTGCTTCTGCCCGCATCCCCGCGGACCACGGGGATGCCTCCATGCAGCCACGGTGCTTTTGGAAGATTTGCTGTTGCTTGAGTGCTAAGCTGAGCCAGACAGGTGGAGAGCAGGGCTGTGCTGTTCAGTTTCGTGTCCTTGATGTGCCAAGAAGGAAAAGTCTCCTCAGGAGGAAACGTGTTTGCACATCCCTGCCCACGCAGCGCTTCAGGCTCTCTGTTTGGCAGAGAAACCCCTCAGTCCCTGCCCTGAGCCCCTCTGCTCCTCCCCACAGCATCTCTGGCTGCGTTTAATCGCACTGCAGTCAGTCAAAGTTTGCACTCCGTCTTTATTGCCAATATTTCCACGTGACCCCACAGATCCTCACTGGGTTATGCCACAAAATCTGGCTTGTGGATGCACTAAAAAAATCCCCAAGGAGAAGTAGGGGGATTAGAAAAAGAAGAGCTACTCGTACACAGAGATGTCAGTAATGCACAAAATAGAGGTATTCAAGAGAGTCTGGGGCATCTGAGAAGGGCTTGGTAGGAGAGGATGATGGAGGTTTGCCTGGGCTGTAGAAGAAGCAGATTCTTAAAAATAAAAGCAGTAGGAGTAAGTACAGAGTAACCAGATAACCACGATCAAAGTGTCAAAGTCTCAGGGGATGCTGCTAGAGCAGGTGACCTGTGTGTGTCCCTTTCCCAAGGGTGGTAAATAAATGTCATAATTCTGTCACTGTCTCAAACTTTTGCTTAATGTTGATAACACTTTCTCTCTCTCTCTCTCTCTCTCTCTTTTTCTCCCTCTCTTTTTTTTTTTTTTTTTTCCACTCCCAGAAGCACAGGAGCTTTTGCAGCTGTTACCTTATAAGTTATAACCCAGTCAGAAACCTGACTTGTATATAGACTGTGAAATGGAAGTGTTTGGGGATCTAAATAAAAAAAAAAATCAGGTTCCTCTGAACCTAAGGACAAGTGACCTCATAGTATCATGGACAACCATGTCAAATAGAATGTAGCAGCCATTTATTAGTAAACACAAAACAACAAAAAAAAATGCCTGTCCTTGATATTTTTCTTTTTTTTTTGGTGGTACCAAAGTTTAAGTCTTTGTGTTTTTAGAAGGACTATTGAGCTTGATAGAGAAAAAAAAAATGCTTTTGAATCGTGCAGATAAGCTGTGAAAGGAACTGCTGGTCCTTTCAATGCCACAGGCACTGACAACATCTGCCAGTTCACCTTTTGCTTTGGAATAGTGATTGTTTTATGGAAGGGAATGAACGTCTCACCAGATGGGCCAGAACCACGTTTGGATGGACGGGTGGACAGATGGATGGACGGATAGAGCAGTGTTAGCCATACACAGTGCTTTTTAAAAGCAGTCTGGAGATTCTCATACCCCTCTCCCTTGTCCCTTCCCCCCTCTGGTATTTTGCCTGCTGTATGAATTACGATTGTACTCCTCTGGAAATATTTTACAATTTAATATTGAGTGTAATTAAGAATATAATCACTGTTATCAAAAAAGGTATTTAACTCTGTTGTAGTTTCTTTATCATTCATGTGGATAAAAAGTCTATAATAAAAAAAAAAAAGAAAAGTATGAGATAATAGTTGAGCTTCCCTGTAATTTAATGCCATGCTTAGTCCACTGAAGAAAACAACTGGGAAATCTATCCCCAGTAATGCCTTTTTAGAAGTATTTTAATTCACAAATAATATGCTGAAGGGTTTCATGGTGGAAATTTCTGCCTCTGGTTATTTTGAAAACGCTCAGAAGAAGCAGATTAAGTACAATTTCAGGACGTGCCTTGTGGATCCACAGACATAAAGGCAGTCAGTTGATTTTGAAGACTGCAGCCGATATTCCCCCAGGTCTTTCCTTGGTGACCTGCACCACCCTGATTGTCAGGGCTTTCCTGGGTGAATCCACCTCCCTGCTGAAGGCCTTGGTCCCAAACACAAAGGGTCTCCTACACCAGCATCCAAAAGTGTTTTAAGCCATGCCCAGCAGAGCTGCTCTCTCAATATTCCCAGCAAATTCCTGTGAGATTAAATCACCTGGCTTTGCAGCTCCTTGGTGCAGCTGGCAGGGCTGGGAGGCAGGGGAGGAAGGGCACAGCCTGTTCTCATGCCCTACCCTGCACAGTTTGCTCTGGTGTTAGGTGAGCTGACAGGACTCACGGAACCAACAGAATTAAGGCTTTCATGGCGTGGGAAAAAAAACAAACAAAAAACAACAAACCAAAACAGCAAAACCACCAGAAAAGCTGGGCCAGGGCAGCTCAAATTTTCACCTGTCCCAGTAGCCTGTTCCCAGGAACAGAGGAAATCAGACACTTTGTGAAAGCACACCAGCAATTAGAGATATGTTCCCAGAATATTGTTTTAGCTACTAATGATTTACTGCTTATGGGTTTTCTGACCTAGACATGATGTCTTGCTTTTAGTAACCCTCGATGGATTTTTTTTTTCTTCCACCTAGGCACACTTTTAGCAGATTACAGCATCCTGTGGCAATAAACTCCACTGCTTAAATACAGCTTGTGGGGAAAAAAGAGAAAACCAGCTTCTGATGATTGGAGCTGCCAAATTTAGCCTCATTTTATGCCCTGGGCTTCTTGTACTGGATGAGAAAAATTGTTGATTACTAGCCATCCCTGTCCACTTTCCTCATGTCTGACATGATTTCATGGCATCTATCAAGCCTTTTTGGCTGTCATTTTTCCAGATTAAGTTGTAGTCGTCCCTCCAACATGAGCAGCCCCATAACTCTGTAGTCCCCATGTACCTTTACCCAATCAGGTCCTGCGTCCTTTATGAGATGCAGAACCAGCTGCACTTGGGAATACTCAGGGTACAGGACACTCTACAGATTATTGCACAGAATGACACTGTGCTGCTTTCTGTGATGAATGAACGCAGCTGCAGGGTGGTGGTAAAATCTCTTACCACTATAGATCAAAAGTTTTGCCCAGACATAAAGTAACCCCGCTGCTCAATAAGAAATTACCTCCCTAATGGCTTCTGAGTGCCGGAGCTCCTGGATGTGGTCAGGCGTGCAGAGCAGCCCTGGTTGTCCCCCACCATTTGAGAATCAGGCCCTGGAGCTGACACAAAGCACCTAAAGCAGATTTATTTGTTTTCTGCTCCCAGCTGAGGCCGTTGTGCTCCCCAGGGACTTTCCAGAGCCCAGCTGTGTGTGCTGGTGCAGTTGTGGAGCTGTGCATTAAATGCATGGCTCACACAAATTAACAGGCAACAAATGCGCTTCAAACTGAGCACTCAGACTCGAAATGTACAATTTCCACTTGGTTATTTATGCCCACTCAGGAAATGGAAGCACCATTTGCCTGGTTGGTAGCTGATTCACAGACCACAATGTCAAAGGCTGTGATGGAATATACATCCCAGAACTAAGCATGAATGAGGTGTTTTGAATTAAAAAATAATTCCTCACGCTGATAAAGGTCAAGAACGTGATTCTAGAAAACAAATAAAGGAAAGCCTCCACCTAAACAAATCACTTTGATAAATATCCACGAAAGCTCCTAATCACCAGTTGCTTTTTGTTTGCTTTCCTCTTGTGGCAAAGCTTGTACACGTTAAAGTGAAATTAAACACTGTTGTGTTTCACCAACTCAACCTTTCCACCAGAAATAAAAGTTTAAAAAAAGGGATACTGGAAGATTTTCCCAGGAGCTGGTATGGTCGCATCTGCAGCACACATACCCTGTGTCTACACAAATTGGCTTGCACTCAGCTGCCCCTCTGCAGTGGCCTTTGCAGGGCTGTGTTGGAGCCCACTGGGGAGCAAATCCCAGCGTGGCTGAGGGGTCACCCCAGCCTGTCCTGGTGGCGCTTTGGATGTGGCCAGCCTGAGCTGGAAGGTCTGGATGTGGCTGCAGCTCCCCAGGGCCACGTGGGGACTGTCCCAGCCACAGCTGCTGTCACACAGAGCAGCCCTGCTGCTGCCCTTAGCACAAAATGAATGACGTGTTGGTGTGGAAAACAAACACCCAGCTTTTCTAACGTGTGACGTGCAGCTTGTCAACACCTTGAAGAAACCTGCGTAAGCGACCAAACATCGCCTCCACAGCTGCTATCGCGGGAGAGGCAAAGGGTAACAGCAGTCCCACAGTTTTAGCCTTCTGGACACCAAAATCCCCTGGGCACGGCAAAACCCACGGCATAGGCTGCACACTGAGCTGTGGGTTGAATTTCCAAATGGAATGAGAGTGTTGCTTTTGACCCACGCAGCTGTGTGTCCATGAGCTGCCCACAACACCCCCTGGGCGGGCTCTGTGCTCCAGGTGTGGTGGTGCTTCTCCAGGACCTAGGGCTGGCTTTGTTTGCTTCTGAGATGCTTTAGCACAGCTATTTTTGTTGGTGAAGAAGTGCACCAAGCAAAAGCATGAAGATATTTGCTTTCCCTTATTGCAGGAAATGGGAACAGGCCTTCTCTCAGGACCAAAATTTTATGTGCCTTCAAGCCATCTCCCTCAAAGACCCTTTCTGCCTTTTGCTGACCTTGCTGTAAAATGGAAGGTGCACAATTCTGGAATGGTGTGGGTTGGAAGGGGTCTTAAAGCTCATCCAGTTCCACCCCCTGCACTGAGCAGATGGGACAAAAATGTCCCTGAGCAAGGACATTTTCCCCTAATTCATGATGTTCCAAGCCACATCCAACCTGGCCTTGTGAGTCACAAACAAATTTTCTGAAGCAGACAGCATATCTGAGCATTTACTGCTTTGGAGATTGACCACATTGATGAATAAATACCTTGGAAAAAATACCTTGATGGTTATTAAAAAAAGCATCTCTGTCAGAATAGGCTTCTTCAAGGTTTTCTGCTCCCAGCAGAAAGATCAAGAAGTTTTGTCTGAGCTGGGTATGGCAAGTAGGATAAGGCTCTGCTTATTAATAGCAAAAAAAATAAATTTTTTCTTTTGTAATACCGACTAAGTAAATCCCTGTGCCTTTTAGAGTTCAGATTTTCTCAGGGTTATTTTTCCTATTCCATAACTTTTATGTCATGTAAAACCTTGAGGCAGCCATGCCAAAGGTTTGGTACAAATTTTGCAATTTATACCAAAAACTTTACAAAAAATTTATACCAAAAATTGTAAAAAAATAGCTCCTCCTCAGAAAACCGGTGTTTTTCAGATTGTATCACTGAGGAATTAACAAAAACAAAGTGAAATGTTTTCTCTGACCCTCTATGATAAAAACTTTCACCCTGCTGGCTTTTAAAGCAGAATCACTCTGCTAAGAAAAGCTCTTGGGAGAGCTCCTGTAGGACATACCTCTGTTTTCCTATCACCTCCTGTAGCTTTTCTTTCCTCCAGATGAGCATGGCAGGGGGCTGGAACAAGATGGGCTTTAAGATCCCTTCCAACCCATATGATTCTGTGATTCTATAATTCTAAATGTATTTTCACACTGTTTTATCCAGCTGCCTTGGATTATTCAGTACAAATTCGAGAGGGCTTTTTTTCATTATAGTGATATTATCCTTGATGCACACCCTCATATGTGAAATTTTTGATCCCCAAAGTGGTAGCCAAGTATTCACTAATAAGTCCCAGAGCAGGCAAAAGACCTAGAGTGGTGCAGAGGAGCTCTGTCCTGGCACACAGCTCACATCCTGGCGACCTGTGGTGTGTGTCTCTGTGGCCTTGGGCACACTTGGCTGCCTGTCCTGGTCTCACTGGGGTTGTTGTTATCTGTGCTGGCAGTTTTCACTGCTGGAACTGCACCCAAGCCATGTGAGATAAGGTGTTTCTGCTGCCCCCTCCTCCTCCTCCACCACAGCTCCCCACACTGTGATCTCAAGCTTCTCCACAAAACTGAGTCTGGGGTGAGGTGACACCAGCATAAAAAAGAAAAAAAGGAATATTTATTCACATATTAATTTTTT